ATTATGTTGGCAGCCAGAAACCCACCTCCACTCCTGCCATCACACGCAAATATCCGATTATTCGCAGACCTGTCAAAGGCCACGCTCCTTAACCGTAAAAAGTTGATTACTATTACCAAAGCCTTACGAAACCACGGCATAGGCTATCAATGGGGTTTCCCCACAAAACTAATTGTGAAACAACACGGTAGAGTCTTCACAATCAAAAAACCTTGAAGCAGGCCTAGATTTACTTAAAACATGGAATATACTACCTGTGGACACACAGTAATCTACACCTACCAATCTCCAACATATGGAGGCAGAATAATGCTATCGCAACACACCTTCTATACACCACCAATACTTTTATCTCAGATACTATATCCCGCTTTACTATTCTCTGGCAATCGGCCCTGTTCAGAAAATGTTCGTGTTACAAGAAAATGTTTGGAATTACCTTCTTTAGAGTCAAAACCTGTTCAAACCCCCCAGTTCTGAAGTAGCAAGTCGAGCTACTCAGGTCACTTGCATTTTACGCAAGTTTTTTTTATCTCCTTCCACCTTCCTCCTCCTCTCCTCCCCTGTCACCACCAGTCGATCAACTATACTTCAATATTCACCTGAATTCAATGAACTATCGTGGAATACCTACCCTAACTCCTCGATCGAGCCCAGACTGCACCGCAAAATCAATGAAACTCTCCCTCTCACAGCTGCATCCACTCAACTTTGCTTTTTTCAAACATCAACTCAACTATCCTGTTCATCACTCAACAGATCCACATGATGATTAATATCACATCTCTTAATGTTCGTGCCTTAAACTCTCCCTTCAAAAGATCGATGCTTCAAAAAGAAACTCGAACGTTTCAGGCCGACATTCTTTTCTTACAGGAAACTCACTTTGCTACAACCAAGACCCCCAGGCTACAACTTAATCGATTCTCACACATCTATATGGCTACTAACCCCAAGAAAAAAAATGGTGTCATTACAGCTATAAAGGACTCTGTTCAGTTCCGATACATCTCAGAAATAGCTGACCCCCAAGGTCGCTATCATATCCTAATTTGCCAAAGAAATGACATCCTCTACACTCTAGTAAATGTCTATGGCCCCAACAACAACCAGATGCAATTTTACCATAAACTCTACACCATCATTTCTACTCAAAAGCAAGGCAGACTCATCGGCGAGACTTCAATGTTATATGCAATCTTCTTTTAGACTCGTCCTCCAACAAAAGATCCCCTAAACTAAACTTCAACCACTTTCTGCACAACCATGACCTTTACGACATCTGGAGATGCCAGCACAGCAATGAGAGAGACTACACTTACTATTCCCTGTCACAATCGCGGCGTCAGACCCAAGACCTTTTCACCAAACTCATGACCGAAGGACTGGCCGATCCAAACCGCGATGTGACGTGCGTACCAATACCACGCCCAGCCGCACCCTGCACAAAAATTTTCCAGCTAATGGACCACAATCTATGTACCTGCGACCTGAGCGATTGTTACTGGGTCAGGTTAATTACGCAATTAACTCCTTCACACTGCCACCACCTCCTTTTTGATCAGAGAAAGAGGAAACTCGCAAAATATCGCTATAACACCATAATAATTGAAATAATCGTCCGCATAACCCGGTCATTGACACAGGCCAGTTATACAGAGAGTTAGACAAACAGTAGCGGCTCTTTAAAGGCAGGGATTCGTAAATTGCAATTAAGAGTTATAGAAACAGTTCAACACTTTCAGAAAGAGAGATTTATTACTAAAAGGGTCAAACAGGTACAATAAAAATATTTACAGAGAAGATGTAGCTAAGATATATATATACACATATACAGGAAACAGCATAGCCCAGCAAAGAGATAACAGAGAGACGTTAAAGGGTTAAGTTACTTGCCAGTAAGCCTTTGATGTAAGCAAATCCAAGTTTTTTAGAGCAGAATGGTGCTTTGATCTCTCGCTGTTACGATGGAAAAATGGGAGATGTCTTCAATTCTCCTCTCTTAGGCCTGACAGCCGGTTTTAAAGTTTCCCGGCAGGCGGTGGTTCTGAAGTAACAAACCAATCCCTTGTGCAGGGAGGGGTCGGCAGGCAACATCTTTCATAATTCATATTCTGTTCCATAACGGTCCAGCTGCACAAACGACAGTCTACCCGCAGGTATTTTATTATGCAGATAAGCCTGAGGATTATTTAGATATGAATTATGAAATTATATGTGGCACGGTTCGCGTGTTCTATGTTCTGGCTTCCCTGATGGCCCGAGATAAATGAGTGACCCATCAAACTGTCCGTCTGCTCATTGGCCATCTGACGAGGGGTCTGCTTTTTATGTAGGTCTCTCATAGTCCAAGATATGAGACACAGGGGAAAAATTGATCTTTTAAAAATGTTATCTGGTGTGGGCTTCTTGGGAATGCCTTGAACTCTGGGGAAGGCTCCCTTATCTTTTTACGAGGCGTGAAATTACACAGGTTCTCAGGGCAGTGGGACTCCAGCTTTCTTGGGAACTGTCAGGGAATGAGAAGATCGCCACGACGCATGAATCTGCACATGCGTAGGATTCCGACAAGACATAGAGGCAGGCGGGCACTAGGACCCAGGTGCGCCTGTGACCAATGACAGTGCTGGCTGGCACTAGGACCCAGGTGCGCCTGTCAGTGCCGGGCGGGCTATTTAATCCAGCTCTTGCAATGCTCACATTGCCGTATGGTCTTATTCCTGTGTTCCTGTTCCTAGTACCTGAGATTGCCTTTGTTGCAGAACCTGCCTGACCCGGATTATCGTGATTCTCTCCTGCTCTGATCCCTGGCTTGTCTGACCATTCTTCTGATTTCTCCTGTTTACTTGACCTCCTGTTGCTGAACCTGGCCTGTGACCCGTTTATCCTTTTGCCTGCTGATCTGTACCGTCTGCCTTTGCTGTTACCGACCTGGCCTGTCTGACTACGTTACACGCTACCTCTTCACATCTGGCTCTCACTTGTACCTACCACTGGCAAATTGTCTTCTACCACAGCTGGTTGAACTCGGGGGTCGCGACCTAGTCTCAGGCTGCTTCAAGTCCATTCCCACCATCAGGGGCTCTGGTGAAACAGCAGACTGGGGCTTAGATTCCGCGCCCTGAGGGATTCCGGCCTGTGGGTCGCTAGAGGCTACCGCCAGTCGGTCCTTAACAGAACCATACGGCCATGACTGAGCCGGGAAGAGGTCCCTCACCCTGGGATGAGATTTGTCAACACGTGGCGGCACTCACCCAAGCTGTCAAAACACTCCAAGAAAGCTACACCCACCTGGAGGGACGTATTCAGACCCTAACCACGCCAGCAACCACACCATCAGCTCCAGTTGATCCTCCTCTGGCCAGGGGCCACGCAGAACCTTCTGCTGGAGCAGTGTTCGCCATGCCTCCGCCAGAACCTCGAGTATTAATGCCCGAGCGGTTCAGTGGGGATCGAGGGAAGTTCAGGGCCTTCCAGAATTCCTGTCTGTTGTACTTTGACCTACAGCCACGGACTTTTTCGTCAGAATCTGTAAAGGTGGGATTCATTATATCCTTACTGCAGGGGGAACCCCAAGGCTGGGCCCACCGCCTGCTGGAGAGTCGCCATTCGCATCTGGACTCAGTTTCCTAATTTTTCAGAGCAATGGCAGAATTATATGATGACCCGCAACAAGCTGCTTCAGCTGAAGCTGTGCTACATACCTTGCAGCAGGGTCGCTGGGCAGCAGAGGACTATGCCTCAGAATTCAGGCGCTGGAGCGGGGACACCCAGTGGAATGACGCAGCTTTGCGTCACCAATTCCGCTTAGGCCTATCTGAACCTCTAAAAGACGAGCTAGCCAGAGTAGTGGTACCTGACTCCTTGGAAGGATTGATAACTCTGGCAATTCAGGTTGACCGCAGGCTTCGGGAACGGAGGTTTGAAAGATCCAGTCAAGGGTTAAAACCCACATGGATGCTACCACGGGTTCTGACCATTTCAAACTCTCCCAGCAGTACTCGGAATCCGGAACCAGCAGAGGGAGCCGAACCAATGCAACTTGGGTTGATGCGGCCTTCCCTAACGTCTGAAGAGCACCAGAGACGCCGGGTAAACAACCTTTGCCTATACTGTGGAGCAGCAGGCCATGTGGTACGTTCCTGCCCGGAGAAGTTAAGTAAGTGCTCTTCTCCTACTTTTTCTATGACTCCTGCTTGTGTAGATAAACCCTCTCACTTAGCCTTACCAATATCATTTCAACTCCCTGGAAGAACTGTACAGGTGACGGCCATTGTCAGGGCTCCGGGGTGTGACCAGAGGTATGTGACTGACGCAGGGAAACGCAGGCTTCAGATAAGTTATAAACAATATAATTTATTAAACACAGTGCAAACGAACCAAACCACCCATAGATAACAGTACATACAATGCAAGCGTCGTCAGGCAGGCCGGGTCAATAACAATCGGGCAGGTAGGTACAGGGGGTCAGGCAGAGAATGGTCGGGGTCACAAGCCAGGGATAAAACAGGAGAAGTCAGCAGAGGTCCGGATCAGGCAGGGTCAGCAACCAATCAGATAGAGACAGAGACAGGAACAGGAATGCAGGAACAAGATACAGGGCCCAGGAAAAACACACACCAAGGCAGAGACTGCAGGTCTGGCCATCCCTTAAATACACCTGCATGATCAACTTCAGGTGTTTGGCTGGCTGCAGGGTTGAGTCTCTGATTGCTGGGAGCACCCGCTGGCCAGCCCTGGTACTGCAGCCCACAAGGCAGGTGAGTCCCACCATTACTAGCAAGTCCATTCCTGACAGTACCCCCCCTCAAGGACTCCGGGCAGCGGCACCCCCCCAAGGACTCCGGGCAGCGGCACATCGGGCTGGACTCCGGGCAGCGGCACATCGGGCTGGACTCCGGGCAGCGGCACATCGGGCAGGACTCCGGGCAGAGGCACACCGGGCAGGACTCCGGGCAGCGGCACACTGGGCAGGACTCCGGGCAGCGGCACATCGGGCAGGACTCCGGGCAGCGGCACCCCTGGCAGGACTCCGGGCAGCGGCACACCGGGCAGGACTCCGGGCAGAGGCACATCGGGCAGGACTCCGGGCAGAGGCACATCGAGCTGGACTCCGGGCAGGACTCCGGGCAGAGGCACATCGAGCTGGACACCGGATCACCAGGCGGAGCGGCGGGCGCCGGGCCCCCGGGCGCGGCGATGGGCACCGGGCCCCCAGGCAGGGCAGCGGGCGCCGGGCCCCCAGGCCGGGCGCCGGGGCCCCAAGCGGGGTGACGGGCGCTGGGCCCCCAGGCGGGGCGGCGGGCGCCGGGCCCCAGGCGGGGCGGCAGGCGCCGGGCCCCCAGGAGGGGCGGCAGACACCGGGCCCCCAGGCGGAGCGGCGGGCGCCGGGCCCCCAGGCGGGGCGGCAGGCGCCGGGCCCCCAGGAGGGGCGGCAGACACCGGGCCCCCAGGCGGAGCGGCGGGCACCGGGTCATCAGGCACGACAACGGGCATCGGGTCACCAGGCATCAGGTCATTTGGCTCGCCAGTGGGCACTGAAATTAAAACCATCTGGGATATTTCCTTTTTGGAGAAATATGTTAAAGAACAAATGGTTCCTAGATCGCTGAGATGGGACATTTCTCCTGACACTGATGACACTTCATCATTAGTGGAATGGTATCACTATTTCAATACAGTTGGCATTGACATGCTTAAATTTATAATTGCCAGGAAAAAGAAAAAACTCACTTATTTAGATAAAGAGATCAACTCGGTGAAAGAGAAACTCACCCCTTATAAAACTAATGAAGATTATATCACGGAATCTAATAAGCAAAAAAACATTTGGAAAATGTTGATTTGGAGCAAAAAAACAAAAAACGGAAAAAATATATGAGGGATCTTACTGATTATCAAACACAACAGGTATTCAAATGGCAAGCTTTGGACACCAATAATGTATCAGGTAGTAATGGATTTTTTCCACCTTTTACCCCAGCCCATAAAATGGGTCAGCAACTCCCCATGAACTCTCAAGGTAGAGCTAGGCCTTCTACCTCCAATCAAACCAGATATAACATCACTACCCACAACCAATTCCATCCATTATCAGAATTAACAGATAGGAATATTGGCTCTAGGGATAACAGATGGCATCCAAATGTCCATCCTAAACCTGGAAACCCCAATTCGCATAATACTCATTCCAAAAAAAAAAGCCTAATAAACGTAAGGCTCATCACAATAACAACAACCCGGGCCCCCATATACATACCCAAAGACATCCTTCTCATAATCCGAGAGATTATTACCATCATTACCCTCCACAACAGGGGTATTATAGGGATCAATATTCAAACGATTATCAAAATCAATATTGGAGACCACCATATGATGATTATTATGCACCCCCTACTCCTAGAACCCCTGACACTCGCTCTAATAATAGTCATCATTTTTTAGAGAGGGGCAGGGTAAGAAAAAGAAGCGACAATATAGAGGCAAGAGGGGAGGGAGGAGAATCAATAGACCCAACAAAGCGAAGGAGAACATGATTGGGAAGGGTATCTTCAACCTTAGTGCATCCTCGCTTTCTGATAACGAATTAAGTCTATTAGATAAAGGGTTAAAATTTGCTCCAACTAGGCCTATGAATAAGTTCCAGGCCTTTATTGATATTCAGAAATTTGCAAGGAGGTTATCGATCAAAAGATACTTCATGAATAACCCTATCACTAAACACCCCTCATGCCAATATACTTCTCTTTCTAATGCTTCTACTTTCAATCCCCCACCTCAAAGTAATTCAGCTGTCAGTCTATTTAGAGATCAAGTATTGAAAGATCTAAAAAATCTTCCTATTAAGAAAATATACAAAGATCCCAAAATAGACACAGCAATCAAATCCCTTCTAGAGCAGAAAGACCTCGTAGTAAGACCTGCGGATAAGGGGGGAGGGGTAGTAATTTTAAACAAGAGTGATTACATAGCAGAGGTATACAATATCCTTGGAGATACGTCTACATACCAACCACTTCTTAAAGACCCCCTATCAGAGTATAAACGCACTCTCAAAATTATTATTAAAAATGGCTATGATAGATCTATCGTTAATAAAAAAGAGAAGGATTTTCTGTGTCCCAAGGCCCCCCGCTTACCAGTCCTGTACATACTGCCCAAAGTACATAAAAATCCACTAAAACCCCCGGGCAGACCAATAGTGAGCGGGATTGATTCTCTCTGCTCGAGGATAGGGGCCTATATTGATCACCATCTTCAACCGCTAGTACTGCATACCCCTTCCTATCTTAGGGACACGAAACATGTCCTGAATTCCATCAAAGACATCTCTATTCCTCCATCTTCTTTTTTGGTTACAGCAGATGTTGAGGCGTTGTACAGCAACATTGACCATAAAGATGGGATGACAGTCGCTAAGCATTACCTTATGCATGAGAGCTCATTACTCCCTCCACATATCGATTTCATACTGGAACTTCTGAATTTTGCAATGTCAAAGAACTATATGTGGTTTGACAGTAACTACTACCTGCAAGTCAAGGGAGTTGCCATGGGGGCAAAGTTTGCCCCCAGTCTGGCAAATCTGTTCATGTCCTATTGGGAGGAGGATAACATTTATGCTATGGACTGGCCTGAATTGCTGTATTATAAGCGGTATATTGATGACGTGCTCCTGATTTGGAATGGCACGGAACAATCCCTTATAAATTTTTTCACTACTCTCAACAATAATTCTGTGAATATTAAATTATCATACAAGTTTAGTTACACTGAAATTGATTTCTTAGATCTCACTTTAATCAACACCGGTGGACATATTATTACCCAATCCTTTTTCAAAACCACCGATCGAAATAGTTTCATCCCACTAGGGAGTTGTCATCACCCCAGTTGGTTGGCAGGTATACCAAAGGGACAATTCCTCAGGTTGAGAAGAAACTGCACTAACATCGACACTTACCATACGCAAGCCAATATCCTTAAAGAACGTTTCCTCGAGAAAGGATATGACGGGAAGGTTTTGAATAAAACTATGGAATTAATAACTAACATGGATAGGCATAATTTACTAAATACCCAGACGAAACCATCGAAAAATTTGGTATGTCCATTTATCACAACATTCTCTGCCCAATATAGATCTATTAAACATATAGTTACTAAAAACTGGGGGATTTTGAGGGCTGACACCACCCTTGCTAAGATACTTCCGGAGAAACCCGAGGTCATCTTCCGTAAATCGTCCACTTTGCGGGATAAAAATAGCCCCTAATGTTGTTACCATGCCTAAATCACCTCCCACTCTGTTTAACTATACTGGTTTCTACCCATGCAACAATTGCATCGCCTGCAAATGTAATGGTATGAGGAAAAGAAAGATAAACACTTATACCTCCAATCAAACTAAGAGATCGTATAACATCGATAAATTCATTTGCTGTAATAGCAGATTTGTTGTGTATTTACTGGAATGCCCCTGTCTCAAGCAATACATTGGTAGGACCACTAGGCGCCTTAGGGACCGCCTCCGAGAACATGTTAACAACATCAAGAAGGGATTTAAGGAACACTCATTGTCCCTCCATTATAGGAAACATCACCACAGAGATCCTACCAGCTTGAGATTTGTGGGCATTGACATTGTGACTCCACATTGGAGAGGTACTTGTAAAACTAGGGCCGTCTCACAATTAGAGACTAAACACATCTTTGAATTAGATACTTTATATCCTGCAGGTTTGAATATCGAACTGGATGTCAATTGTTTCATTGACAACAGTTAATTCTGCGGTGCTTGACTAACAGTTTGTGGACTTGTCCATTACCTTGGGTATCAGATAGACTACTATCCATTTTTCCATTGCCAACTTATACATTTAGGTCAACTAAGCGGACCAGTTTATACCATGTTTTAGGCCCTTATTGCGTATTGACATAGGATTATTCATTAATCTCGTCACCTTTCACATGCGCTTGTACAATTTGCATTCTGACCCTTACCAGTTCTTTCTATTGTGTTGGTGCCAACTGCACTTTGCCTTGTATTTAAATTTTTTTCTAATTTTATTTATCATTTTTATTCCATAATTATTGGAATTTTATCTTGCATGTTTTATGAATGTTATGATGCCATATATGGGTCTTGGTCGAATCCCTGTTGACCAATTCCCATGCGTTATCCTACTACTATTCTACTACTGCCATTCCACCGTGGTGTCCCTAATTTTATTTATTGGTAATTTTTCCTACGGTGGGGGCTTGACTTTACGATTGATTCACAATCGGTTTTACATTAACCATTAACCCCGCCTCATTTGTTTGGGGCATATGGAGTTAATGGCCTTTTATTATAGCAGCACTGTTACCAGCTCTTTGTTTATTTTGATCTGGGTTTTATATCATTTTTTATATCATTCTTCTTTTATATGCATCATTCTGTATAGGATGCCCTTGGGTGGGGTTTTGCATTTATTATTGCTCTGTGTTTGGACACTGGGTTTTGCTGCCATTTACCACCAGAGACTCTCCTTTCTCTGTGCCAGGGGGATCGCACTGTATATACACGGGATGCTGGCATTCGCGCATGCGCTGTGAGCCTATCTCGGACAGCCGAGCTCCGCTTATATGGAGCCGCTCTTCAGTGATTCCCGTTCTCTCCTGGCCCACGGTGAAATGGCACCCGCGCATGCGCACTTGAGTATTGCGGACGCGCGGACTTCGGCAAGATGGCGCCGCTTCAGTGCGCATGCGCGGGGTACGATATTACGGTATTTAAGCACGATCGAACGGTCACGGCAGCCCTATGTTCCACCTCTCTGAGGAAGTGCGTGCGCACGAAACGCGTCAGGTGGGACCCTAGGACGCCATTGACATCAAGCCGCCGGTGCCACGAGGAGGCCCGGCGGCCATTTTGACATCTAATAGGGTCAGTGTGTTTGCCCATACTTGGCTATTCTCCTGTTATTTTGCACCTGTGCTGCTTTCAAATAAAGTTTTAAATTACTACACTATGAGTGCTCCCCTGTGTCTCCCGTGAGGAGCTTTTCCATCCTTGTAGCCCTTGGGATTCCTGTGCCAGTTCTTTGTGGAGGCTCATCTGGATCGTCATAGCTTTGACCTGCTGGATCATTTCCCACCACATGAGGGCGTAGGATCTCTATTCTTCCAAGCCATATGCCTGACCAGCCTTAAGTGGAGAAAAGGATCTTCAGGATTTATACACATATGCGCATTATCCATGCGCGTTCTGGTTAGTGCAAAATTCTACCATTTACACTGGGAAACAAGGAACACTGTTGTTTTACCGGACTGTGTTTACTACTAATTCCATTATCAATTTTAAGAGCGCTGCATTTCTTCTGTTTATGTATTTTGGGACTTTCTATGTGTTTTCCTATATGTTCAGCTGCTTGCATTATTTATGAGCGCTTACTATTTATCACCACTATTCGCCAGTGGGCACTGCGTCATCTGGCAAGGCAGTGAGCACCGAGTCACCAGGCACGACAGTGGGCTCCGAGTCAACTGGCATGACCGCGGGCACTGGGTCAGACATTGGATCGTCTGGCTGGACAGCGGGCCACCAGGCATCAGGTCATTTGGCTCGACAGCGGGCACCGCGTCATCTGGCAAGGCAGTGGGCACCGAGTCACCAGGCACGACAGTGGGCTCTGAGTCAATTGGCACGACAGCGGGCACCGGGTCATCAGGTACCGGATCGTCTGGCTCGACAGCAGGCACCGGGTCATCTGGCGCTGGATCGTCTGGCTCGACAGCGGGCATCGGGTAACCAGGCATGACCGCGGACACTGGGTCATCAGGCATTGGATCGTCTGGCTCGACAGCGGGCATCGGGTCACCAGGCATGACAGCGGGCACTGGGTCATCAGGCATTGGATTGTCTGGCTCGACAGCGGGCATCGGGTCACCAGGTATGACAGTGGGCTCCGAGTCACCAGGCATGACCGCGGGCACTGGGTCAGACATTGGATCGTCTGGCTCGACAGCGGGCATCAGGTCACCAGGCATCAGGTCATTTGGCTCGACAGCGGGCACCACGTCATCTGGCAAGGCAGTGGGCACCGAGTCACCAGGCACAACAGTGGACTCTGAGTCAATTGGTACGACAGCGGGCACCGGGTCATCTGGCGCTGGATCGTCTGGCTCGACAGCGGGCATCGGGTCACCAGGCATGACAGCAGGCACTGGGTCATCAGGTACCGGATCGTTTGGATCGACAGCGGGCACCGGGTCATCTGGCGCTGGATCGTCTGGCTAGACAGCGGGCATCGGGTCACCAGGCATGACAGCGGGCACTGGGTCATCAGGCATTGGATCGTCTGGCTCGACAGCGGGCATCGGGTCACCAGGTATGACCGTGGGCACTGGGTCATCAGGCATTGGATCGTCTGGCTCGACAGCGGGCATCGGGTCACCAGGCATGACAGTGGGCACCGGGTCATCAGGTACCGGATCGTCTGGCTCGACAGCGGGCACTGGGTCATCAGGCGTGATAGGATCATCAGGCTGGATCAGTTCATCAGGCTGGGTACAGACATCAGGCTGGGTACAGACATCAGGCTGAAGTGCGGGTGCCGAGGCACCAGGCTGAACCACGGAAGGCAGGTTCTCAGACGGCAGGCTCACCGGTTTGGATACTGGCAGGATGGTACTGGTTGGAAAGAATTTCCGCTTTTTTCTGGTTTTAACTACTGGGGCACTGCAAGTAATTGCAGGTCTGCAAACGAATGGAGCAGCTGAGGACAGAGAAGAGCTGGAAGATGGAACAGAGGAGGGAGCAGTTGCTACAGAGGACTTCTTTACAGGGTTAAAGAAAGGATAGGTGCAGCGAGTGGGAGCAGAGGACTGGTATGTGGTAGTTAGAGTATACTGGGCAGTCACTGGGGGTGCTGTCGGGGATACAGGAAGAGTGCCTTGAGTGGAGGAATGATGTTGTAAGCTGACTGAGGCTGGGTGCAACAAGTCTGACCATGTCTGCAGTATGGGTTGAACAAAGTTCAGCTTACACAAAGCCTGTCTGACCAAAGACTGCACTGCGTTTATACAATCCCTTAATACCTGTGGTGAACATGCAGCATAATGCTCCAAGAAACAATCCACATCATCCTCTAATAACCATACTAGGGATTCTACCTGGTCTGCACTAAATGGCGGCAAAAGTTACAAGGACAAAACTATCAACACCGGCATAAACACAGCCTTGAGAACCCAAAGGGAAAATCTACTTCAGTACAAAGAGAAAAAAACAAACAACCGTGTACCTCTAGTAACTACATACAACCCGGCACTAGAGGGAATAAGAAAAATAATCAAAGATTTACAACCCATCATAACAGAGGATGGAACTCTGAAAGAAATATTCCAGCAACCCCCAATACTGGCTTTCAGACAACCCCCCATCCTCAGAAATAAACTAATCAGTAGGAAACTTCCTTCTGATTATGATGCCACAAATAATGGAAGCAAACCCTGCAATAAGAAACGCTGCAAGCTGTGCAACCAAATCAATCCATCAAAAAGTGTCAGACACTCAAAAGGGATCTTCAATATTTCCGGATCATACAGCTGCACCTCCAGTAATGTTGTATACCTTATCCAGTGCAGAAAATGCAGCAAAGGATCTTATGTTGGTGAAACAGGACAGAAGTTACAAACACGGATGAATTTGCACAGACATACCATCAAGGAACATAAAGAAGATGACCTCTACACACCTGTAGGACACCATTTCTCACAACCAGGCCACAATATGGAAGACCTCAATATTTTAGTTCTGAAAGGAAAATTTAAATCCATCCAGGAAAGAAAAACATTTGAACTAAGAATGATAATTCTATCTGACACAAAAGATAACGGTCTTAATTTGGACATGGGATTCCTCAACCATTATCCGACAGCTTTATGACCATCTATTAGCTAAAACTTGACCCCCTCTGTGTGAGTGTTGTATCCCCCCCCTCCCCCCCTCGCTTTTGATGTATCTTATCTGTAGCCCTTTTTTTTTTTTTTTTTTTTTTCTCAATCCCTTCTAACATTCTGCTTAAACTTTGTGATTTGTATAGTACTGCTTGGACTTTGAAGAAGGGGACATACCCCGAAAGGTCGTCCTCAAAATTGTATGTTAGTGCAAATAAAAAAAGTATCACGGGGGTACCAGATGAAACCAACTCAGTACAAACCTGAATCAATGGCTGCACCTCAGAGAATTCTGTGCCCTGATCTACTAGAACATGAGCGATCCTTATACACTCTAGTAGTTGATCCCTGGGATACTCTTTCAGAGTCTGATAAGCATACTCTCTGTCATCAAACACTAGCAGAGATAAATACACAACCTCATCAAGATCCATCCTTCCCAGCAACAAGCCAAGATGGCTTCCCTGTGCAGCCACTTCTGGTCAGGATTGGCCTTGGTGTAATGTCAGGGCTCCGGGTGTGACCAGAGGTATGTGACTGACGCAGGCTTCAGATAAGTTATAAACAATATAATTTATTAAAGACTAACAATACAAACATAAACGCAGTGCAATACTAAAACATAACACAGTGCAAACGAACCAAACCACCCACAGATAACAGTACATACAATGCAAGCGTCGTCAGGCAGGCCGGGTCAATAACAATCGGGCAGGTAGGTACAGGGGGTCAGGCAGAGAATGGTCGGGGTCACAAGCCAGGGATAAAACAGGAGAAGTCAGCAGAGGTCCGGATCAGGCAGGGTCAGCAACCAATCAGACAGAGACAGGAACAGGCATGCAGGAACAAGATACAGGGCCCAGGAAAAACACACACCAAGGCAGAGACTGCAGGTCTGGCCATCCCTTAAATACACCTGCATGATCAACTTCAGGTGTTTGGCTGGCTGCAGGGTTGAGTCTCTGATTGCTGGGAGCACCCACTGGCCAGCCCTGGTACTGCAGCCCACAAGGCAGGTGAGTCCCACCATTACTGGCAAGTCCATTCCTGACAGCCATTATTGACTCAGGGGCCTGTAGTTGTTTTGTTGACCTCAATTTTGCAGCACAACAGCAGATTCCCTTACTGACCAAGGAGCATGGCTTGAGCATCCTCTTGGCTGATGGGACTCAAGTTAAGTCTGGGTTGGTAGATCGGGAGACCCCTCCTATATGCACTATAATGGCTGGTCATCATCAAGAACTCCTCTGCTTGGACGCCATTGCGTCCCCACTATTCCCAGTTATTTTGGGGCTTCCTTGGCTACGTGCACACGATCCTCAAATTAACTGGAGGACTGGGTCAATTCAGTTTAATTCACCCTATTGCCAGGAACATTGCTGCCCCAGGTCACCACCAGACACCCAGACTTTGCTTTGTATAAACACAGACACTGAGCTAGCACAAACGGTTCCTACAGCATACCACCACTACCTTGATGTTTTTAGTCCACGGGGAGTAGACATCCTTCCCCCGCACAGGGCGTATGACTGTCCAATTGACCTTCTCCCGGGATCTGAAATTCCCTTCGGCCGAATCTTCCCCTTGTCTGAACGGGAGTTGAGGGCCTTAAAGGAATATATTGATGAAAGCCTTCGAAAGGGATTTATCCGTCCATCCACGTCACTGGCAGGGGCCGGAATCTTCTTCGTGGAGAAAAAGGACAAATCCCCGAGGCCCTGTATTGACTATAGGGATCTGAATAAGATTACAGTTAAAAACCGTTATCCTCTGCCCTTAGTCCCTGAGTTATTTCAGAGGTTGAAATCAGCCTCTATTTTCACTAAGCTGGATCTCAGGGGTGCATATAACCTGGTCCGTATACGCGAGAGGGATGAGTGGAAGACCGCTTTTCGCACTCGGTTCAGGCACTTCGAATATTTAGTCATGCCCTTTGGGCTATGTAACGCACCGGCCACATTTCAACACTTTGTGAATGACATATTCAAAGATTTCCTGGACATCTTTGTGATAGTTTATTTAGATGTTATCCTGATTTTTTCATCATCTCTGGAGGCACATCGAGGTCACGTCAGGAGTGTGTTGGAACGACTTCGCCAGCACGGGCTCTACGTCAAAGCGGAAAAGTGTAGTTTTGAGCAGCGCAGCATCCCATTTCTGGGGTTAATTATTTCCACCACTGGAATTGCTATGGACCCTCAAAAAATCTCAGCCATCCTGGAATGGCCGGTACCCACAGATAAGAAAGGGGTTCAGCGATTTATCGGCTTTGCCAATTTTTATAGGAAGTTCATTAAGAATTTCTCAGGTCTGGTATCTCCTATCACCCAACTCACAAAGATGGGAGTACGCTTTCAGTGGACACCAGAGGCACAGGCCACCTTTGAATCCCTAAAGAAGCTGTTCACGACAGCTCCCATCTTAAGTAACCCTGATGCGTCCCTACCTTATATATTGGAAGTAGATGTGTCAGAAAACGCAGTGGGGGCCATCCTGTCACAAAGAAAGGGTGTAAAAGAACTGATGCATCCGGTGGCCTTTTTCTCCAGGAAGCTTACCGCGTCAGAGAAGAATTATGACATTGGAGATCGGAATTGTTGGCCATTAAAACAGCACTAGAAGAATGGAGATACCTATTGGAGGGAGCCTTGCATCCCATTCTGGTCTACACAGACCATAAAAATTTGGAATATCTGAGGACAGCTAAACGCCTCAGACCGCGTCAAGCCAGGTGGGCGTTATTCTTTTCGAGGTTCAGCTTCCACATTACGTATTGACCAGGGTCCAAGAATACAAAACCTGACGCGCTCTCGCGTCACCCCAAAGAAATGCCCAAACCAGATACCATCCTGCCAGCAGGTAATTTCCTATTGCTACAATCAGAGCTCCTGTCTAACTTACAGGCTGCGTCCCTGGAGCCCCCCAACTTACCTGGAGTTCCAATACAGAGTAGGGAGGGTCTCTTATGGAAAGGGAAACAGATCATGGTACCGGAAGGAGCTCGGACCTTGGTCCTGGGCTACTGCCACGACCATCCATTGGCGGGCTATTTCGGAGTACACAAGACCCTAGAGTTGGTGCAACGCACATTTTGGTGGCCAAGTATGGCCAAAGATTGCGAGGCCTATGTAAGAACCTGTGCAGTCTGCAACAGGAATAAGCCCTCCAGGAACAAGGCTTGGGGCCTGTTACGTCCTTTACCGGCGCCAGACAGACCATGGAGCATGATCTCCATGGACTTCATAGTAGAACTACCACCCTCGCAGAATCATACTGCAATTTCCGTGGTGGTGGATCGCCTTTCAAAAATGGCCCACTTCCTTCCACTGAAAAGTACACCGTCTGCTTCCGAGACAGCACAAGTTTTCATCAGGGAAATAGTGAGACTGCATGGTGTACCCAAAAATATAGTCTCAGATCGGGGTGTTCAATTCACTTCCAAATTCTGGAAAGCGCTATGCGAAAGTCTGGAAGTGAAATCGTCCTTTTCCTCAGCCTATCACCCGCAAACGATTGGGGAGACTGAGCGAACCAATCAAACGCTGGAACAATATCTCAGATGCTACACCTCATTCCTACAGGACGACTGGTTGCCACTCTTGCCCCTGGCGGAGTTTGCCTACAACAATGCAAATCACTCTGCCACCAGGCAGTCCCCATTCTTTGCCAATTATAGTTTCCACCCCACCTTCTTGCCAGACCTGATCCCAGAAAACCCGGTTCCTGCAGCTCAAGAGTCCTTAAATTTCTTTGCGTCCAACAACAAACTGTTACAGGAGGCAATGGCAAAGGCTCAGGAAGATAGCAAAAGGGCCTTTGATAAAAGAAGAAGGGGGGAATTGGTCGTGCACCCAGGGGATCAAGTTTGGTTAGCAACTACCAACCTAAAGATGGCATGCCCATCGAGGAAATTGGCACCCAAGTTTGTGGGCCCATTTCAGGTGAAGCGTCAAATTAACGAAGTGGCTTTTGAATTAGCTCTGCCCGAGTCTTTCAAAATACATCCAGTGTTTCATGTATCCTGCTAAAATGTCACTCCAGATCCGTTCCTGGACTGTAGATCAAAGCCACCAGTGGCCCTAGACGTTCAGGGAGAAGAGGAATTTGAAGTAGAAGCAATTCTAAACTGCAGGAAGAGAGGGGGTCAGACACAGTACCTTATAAAATGGAAAGGTTATGGGCCTGAAGAAAATTTGTGGGAACCATCCCGAAATGTCCACGCTCCCAGGCTAATTCAAAATTTTTTTCGGAACCATCCACAAAAAGAGGAGTCATTTGGGCATCCGGAGGCTGCCCATAAGGGGGGCAATGTCAGGGAACGAGAAGATCGCCACGACGCATGAATCTGCACATGCGTAGGATTCCGACAAGACATAGAGGCAGGCGGGCACTAGGACCCAGGCGCGCCTGTGACCAATGACAGTGCTGGCAGGCACTAGGACCCAGGCACCCCTGTCAGTGCCGGGCGGGCTATTTAAACCAGCTCTTGCAATGCTCACATTGCCGTATGGTCTTATTCCTGTGTTCCTGTTCCTAGTACCTGAGATTGCCTTTGTTGCCGAACCTGCCTGACCCAGATTATCATGATTCTCTCCTGCCCTGATCCCTGGCTTGTCTGACCATTCTTCTGCTTTCTCCTGTTTACCTGACCTCCTGTTGCTGAACCTGGCCTGTGACCCGTTTATCCTTTTGCCTGCTGATCTGTACCGTCTGCCTTTGCTGTTACCGACCTGGCCTGTCTGACTACGTTACATGCTACCTCTTTCACATCTGGCTCTCACTTGTACCTACCACTGGCAAATCCACCTCTACCACAGCTGGTTGAACTCTGGGGTCGCGACCTGGTCTCAGGCTGCTTCAAGTCCATCCCCACCATCAGGGGCTCTGGTGAAACAGCAGACTGGGGCTTAGATTCCGCGCCCTGAGAGATTCCGGCCTGTGGGTCGCTAGAGGCTACCGCCAGTAACAGGAACCCTGGCCTTATCCTGGCCTAGGTGAGAAAGTCTACACTTTTGCAGACCTCTCGGTACCGAACTAGGGTTGCCTTGCCCTGCCAGTGACCCATACACAGTACACATATACTGGCCACATGTCTTCCAGGAAGGAAGGGGGGAAAAGGGAGAAATGAGAAAAAATATATACTCTTAACAAGATGGAGTCTGCGTCCTTCACTATGTGTTGCGCATGTTTGCGACATTCCCCTTCTCACCTTTCCTATTCCAGAATCGATTTTTTCATCACAGACAAATGGACACTACAACACGTGATATCGTCCAAAATTGGTACCATAACCTGGTCAGACCACGCTCCAATCAACATATCCTTAGACGACAATCAACGCTCGGCAATCCCGCCCATCTGGAGACTAAACGCTACAATTTTGAAGAACCCAGATAACCAGAAACACCTGTTAGAAGCCCACAATTTATTCTTTGAATTTAA